GTATGCCATGGCACTGGACTCAAACTGTATTTAACTCTAAATCCTGTTACCTGTTTGCAACAGCTATCCCTTTTCCAGATATTCCTGAATTGTGAACAAGACTTGTAGATCTCTGTCAAAATCATTTGTGCCAGTGTTACCCAAGTGAAGATCCAGGGCAAGGGTTTGTGACCCTACCCGGGTTCCTGTCTTCTTCAGACTCAGTATCCTATACACATCTGGCCGGCACTGGTCCCAGCTAGTCTCCGGCTCACACACTAATCCCGATAATTAGTCTGTACACCGTCTCTCACATCAGCCTATAGCCTCCCTAAAAGCAAGATTCATTTAACTTTTGAAATAAAGAGTAAAAGACCCACATAACTTAAAAGTACATGTCTATGAAAATATGCATACACTCCGAGAAAAACGCAGGAAGGAAAGAATACCAGTGAGAATGTGTATGGCAGGCTGTAGAGGTTGTTTGGGATTTACTGGTATTATTGTTTAATTCATTGCTGTCTTTACTACAATTACATGTCTTTAAAAAATAGCAATGAAAATCATGTACAGAGAATTTGGCTTGGAAGCAGTCCATGTGAAATGGCTTTAGACCATTGAGAATCTCTTTCCAACCGGAAAACTCTAAGCAGAAAAATAGTCTCTGATAGAACTTGTTGATCCCTGGAAACATCAGCCCCGTTTTCTTTCTTTCTTCCTTTCTTTCCTCTTTCTTTCCCCACCTCTCTTCTTTCCTTTTTTTCAACATTACATTGCTATTTAGACTTAACAATCTGATAATAAAGAAAGAGCAGACTAGAAAACTAGATATTAAAGATTTTAAAAAAGTCTGGGTGATGTGTGCACACGTGTATGTGTGCCAGCAAGAGCATGTGTGTGTGTGTGTATGTGTGTGTGTGTCCATCTATCCCTCTGTCCGCTGCATGCCTCTGCTAGAGAGGTTAAGAAATATGAAAAAACAATATAGAGACCAAAAGATCAAAGTGTAAAAAGTTCTTCCAGTCCAAGAACCGGAATAGACAAACCTGAGTCATCTGGAACAGAACAGGGTCCTGTTCCATGCTGAGACTAGGAAATAAGATAAATAAATAGAATATAGGTGTTTAGAATAGAGACTTCAGAAGGGTAAGATTAAAGAAAAAGGATCGGATAGAGTATGAGCCTATGGACAATTAGGAAAAAAGAAAAGAAACACTAATTGTGGAGAAAAATAGCATGTATAAATACTGCTCTTAGATCCAGAGATAATCTGAGTATTTGACTGAAACATTTTCAACAAGCTATGATTTCTTTACTGTTTCATTTTTTTCTGGGGGGGGGGTGATTTTCATCAGTGAAAACCGGTGTTAAAAACTAGACACAGGCTATCTTTTTCTCTCAGGTAATATCTCGCCCGTTTTGTTCATTCCTGTCTGCAAACTCTGTGAGACAAGTGAAAATTCCATTTGGCTTAGAAATATAATTTACTTCCCGGACTAGAAGATTTGCTACATATACAAGGTAAACCAATAGCTGATAGATTTATGGTAAACTGTTATCACAATGGATAAAACGAGCAATTCAAATCCTAGTTACCATTTGGCAAGTGAAAATTTTATCTTGTTTAAAAATATTTTTCTCCTTCTATACTAGAAGCTAAGCCACCTACACGCAGTGCATCAGCAAGTTAGCATTCATATCAATTTCTCATTAAAAAAGGATAAAATGTCCAAATGGGAAGTCTACTGTTTGACATGTGGAAATTCTACCTTGCCTTTGAAATAGAAATCCCCCGCTCCTCTAGAACTTGCTCTAAATAAAAGATATAAATCAACAGCTTCACAGATATATGGCAAATTGCCATAAAACAGGTAAAATTGTTCAAACAGAAGAAATATTACGTGCGATGTCAAAATCCTCCTTGGTGCTAAAGTACTTTTCCCACCCCGCTGAAAACTCAACATGGTGGTAAATCGAGAGATTGATAGCCCCAGAGCAAAGTCTCACAAAAATGGATAGTGTTCAGATACAAAGGACAACTAGCACCTAGTGAGGTAAAGAACGCATAGAAACACTTCGTGCGCCTCGCACTGACCCTTGTGAAAAGCAGACACAAAACAATCCACACTGGGGAAAAACAGCGTAGAAAAATCTAAACTTCACCTGAACAGTAAATATCAAGAGTGTTGAAGAGTCTCGTCTATCAGAATTTGGACATGCTGGTTTTTAACAATAACAACAATCTAAAGCATCTATTAATTTTGTCTGATCAGTTAAATAATGTTTTGTTCTTTCAGACAGCAAGGAAGTTTTACCTAAACATCTGGCATTGCTTTTTCCCTGGGAAATTTATAATTTGAAGCAAAGTGAATTTTTTTTCATATGTAGAGCATAAAAATCCCCAAGGGTAGTGACCAGAATTATAGCTACATGAGAGAATCCTGCGGTCGGGGAGTATCTGCTCGGCTTGCTGGTTTGAAATACTCGGCTGTTATGGCTGTTCATATACATCAACCAGAAAATATTAATTTAACATTATTTATTTTAAAGAAAACTGTAAATTAATGTTATTTGATGATCAAAATCTACATACTTGAAAAAATGGAGAAAATTAATTTGATCCAATATTTAATTTTGAGAAAAAATAGACACAACCCTATGAAAAAACTGTTTTTTTAGACACCTCTGTAAGCACAGAGGTAGGATGGCCGCACCGCATCAGGGCGAGGGTGTCACAGGTGATCCTGATCAACTTTACTAAGGCTCTCTCTGGAATTTGAACAATGAATAGAATTACTATTATTACAAAAATACAAACAAAGCCTTTTTTACTTTTGAACCCCCCCAAAAAATCCTGGTTCAAATTTTGAAATAAAAAATCAAATTAGTTCAAACCTTGAAAGACTTGGGTGATTTTTTTTAAAACTTGGTTTTCCATATTTTTTATCCATGCTCGCTATAGGTCTCACTTGAAAAAAGCAGTGCTATCAGTGAACAGTTGGGTGAATTAACTTTGTAAGAGAAACAATTGCGAAGCATAGGACAGTGCCGCAGTCACCAGAGCAGTGACTGTTAAATAAGCAGTTGTTTAAAAAATCCTGGAATTAGTCTGTCTTGCAGAAGACAATAAACATTTTTAAATTCAAAAAACAAGATTATGTTCACCCAGCTTCCTAGATAAAAATGCCTTTCCCTACTGTAAATCTGCACTTATTCATTTCTGCTTTGGGGTGGGGGGGGGTCAACACTTAATTTCTAAAACGTAGGTTCCCAGTAAATGAATGAGTTTTTGCTTAATGCTAAAAGCTTTGTATAACACAAGGTCCCTTCCACCTTGCAGTATACACAATGGGTCAAAGTCTCGCTTTTTCCTTTAAGGAAAAGCTATAGGTGTCTTCCTGAAATACGCCGTTTTAGTCTTGAAAGACAAATGTGTTTCATCTGTGGTGAATAAATCCAACTCAGTTGTAGACGATTTGATTTTTCTTTTTAACTTTTTGGGACAAAGATTAGCAACAGATTGTGGGTTTCCTTGGCACCTAACGTTTTCAGCAGCTTAGGCGGGATTCCACGTTAGGGTTTGTTTCACCTATTTTCTTCTCCAGTATTTCAGTGTTTTGTCCCTTTGCAAATCTCCCTAACGTTAAAAACCTTACAGGTTTCATATGTACCAAGTCAAGCAGATCTTTGGAGCAGAGCCTCAGCAACCTGTTTCAAAGGTTAAAGCGTGCAGTTCCCGCACCCCAAAACATTCATTCACCCCCTAAGATTTAGAAAAACATAACGGCGCGGGGAGAAAGCCGAGGTCTCCCTGTAAACCTAGCAATCACCACCAAAAGTCCGTAGCTGAAATCTCCAAAGCCCGCCAAGAACGCTGGAAGAACCCACAGCTGTTTTCAATTGGTCTTGCTTTCCCTCAGAATGTATTTAGTAGGGCAACGGGTGCCGTTTGCAGGATCTTTGACCCCCAGCCATGGTTGACCCTGACCTGAAGACCGTTTGGCTCCGAGCATTTCGTGATTCTGCTTCCCTGTTCGGTAAAACCTAAGAAAAACAAGGTTTGCACCACCAGGAAATATGTTTTAAAAGAAGGGGGTGGGGGCTTCAGTCTTTTAAATGTCATATTTTGGTGGTCTCTCTCTCCCTACCCGATTGCAGAAAGAGAAAAGATGTACATCTTTGTGTAACAGAGAAAGCATCTGGTCAGCCATGTCCTTTGGTTCACATCTAGCCCAAGGAGTCTCCATTGTGGGGTAAAGCCCCCCACCCCGAGGGGCAATGACCCCCAGGTCTCTGCTTCGGGGATCAGAAGATGTCCACCACCAGGCTGGGGGGGGAGGAGGGGTGCACGCAGTGGAAACTGGAGATGAATTCCTGCCCTGCTGGACAGGGAGAGGCCATGGGGGTGCACAAAGAAAGAAGAAAGAAAGGAAGAAAGAAAGAGAGAAAGAAAGAGCCAGGGGTCAGGCCTGGGGAGGGAACCCACTGAGCCCAGGTAACGGGCTTCAGGGTGCCCCGAAAGAGGGGTGCTGTGGGGGAGCATCGGGCATAGAGACGGACCAGCACCCTTTGGGCGCGCCCTGGCACCCCGGAACCCGAGTGGGGGAGGGGGAGGCGGCGGCCTGTGGCTCCCCCGAACCTCCACATCGCGCGTAGACCACTAACCTGTCAGTAAGAGTGTGCCAGCGGTCGCGGGGCTCATCCTGCGTGTCCCCCGACCCTTTCCCGTCCAAGCACAGGGGTCTCCCAGCTCCCACCACCACGATAATAGCATTCTTGGCCTGCCTAGGCCGGCTTCTCCCCTCCCCTCCCTTTCTTCTTTCCTCCCAGCTCGGCCCGCTCAGCATCAGCACCGTGCACCCCCCATCCGAGCCCATGCTCCCCCTAGCGGCGGGCCAGCGCGGCGCACGCCGCCCCCGCCCCTCCTCCCGGCCCCGCCACCCCATCCCCCCAGGCGCCCGCCCACGCAGCCCCCCCTCCGCCCCCGCCAGCCCGCGAAGCACGTCGGGATTGGTCGCCCCCTCCTAGGAACACACTATATAAGGCGGCCAGTCCGGGCTCTCGGTACACGCGTTTCCAACTTCGGTTGGTGTGTGTCGAAGAATCCTGACTGCGAGCTGAGGAAAGCGACCCAGCCAGCGGGGAGAAGGTCCACCGAGCCTCGCCGAGGTCCGCTGTGCGGGCTGCGGTCCGGAGTCTCTCCGGACCGCGGTCAACCAGTGGACCGTCGCCGGGCCAGGTGTGGGACCCCGCCGTCTCCGTGACCGTTCCTGTCATCGCAGAGGAGTCCTCGCGTGGTGAGTATGCGGTGAGGACACATTTTTTTCTTCTTTCTAAAAAAAAAAAAACCCCATCAACACGCAATCCCCCGTTTATTCGGGAGCTGCGGGAGATGAAGTAGCGCCCCCGGGATATCTCCTCGCAAACCTGGTTTTTTTTTCCTCTCTCTGCTCCACGCCTTCAGTGGCCTCCACGAGACGCGAGTGTGCAAAGCGAGCCCGTCACGGCTTCGGTTTGCACGACCCGCGTCCAGGACTGGTCAGTAGACGCATGAGCTGCGGACAGTCGATGAGCTGCAGACGCATATGAGCTACGGACCTCCCGACTCGCTATGTGCTTGCTCCCGAAGGGCGCTGCAAACGGACGGCTCTGCAACTCTCGGGGCGCTCCCCTGCACCGCTGCTGCTGCTGCAGACGGGGCGCTTCATGCGCTGCCGCGATGGACCAATGGGCGCTCCACGCGCCGCGAAGTACTTTCCCGGGCGCTTCATGCGCCACGGAGGACTTCTGGACAGGCGCTTCATGCGCCACGAGCCGACGGGAGCTTCACGCGCAGCACCCCACACACATACACTCACATACGAGCGCGCCCGGCGCTGTGCTAATGGGCGCTTCATGCGCTGCTCCCATGTGCCAATGGGCGCTTATTGCGCGCCTCGCTGTGCTAATGGGCGCTTCATGCGCTGTTCCCATGTACTAATGGGCGCCTCGTGCGCTGCTGTGTGTGCAGACGGACGGCAGACGGGCGCTTCGTGCGCGGCAAACCCCTGTCCGAACCACGGCGATCCGCGATCGGTTCCCGTGCTTCACGCACTCCGTTCCGAGCCGCAGGAGGGTTAACCAAAAAAGAAATGCGCCACACACACTCAAAAAAAGATGAATTCATAAGTGTGCCACTGCCTGCTGCAGAGCCGTAACGCAGACGACTCTCGAGCTATAGGAAGAAAAAGTGGATTTGGAAAAAGAGGGAGAAAGTGCGGTTCTCTCCTCGGAGGGAGGTGGTGGGGGGACGAGACCCTTGTCGTCTTTTGGAAAGGTTTTCCCGCAGGACGGCCTAGCTGCGTGACGGCGGTGTTAGACAAAATGGAGCCCTGGGCCGCAAAAATTAGTGTCTGCGCCATTCCTGCTCTGGCGGTAGAAGGAGGGGTGCTGGGTTTTGGAAATGGCAGGAGGGGCTGCCTTGTCTGGTGGTGATTGATTGACGTGACGGTGCAGTGGATTTGGTGGCGCACCTTGGCGTCCAGCAACAGTTTGCTGGGTGGGTTTGAGGCCGAGGGGAGGGGGTGGGCTGTCTGCTCTTGCCGCAATGGAAAGAAAATGGTTGTTGGAAGCTGGAGGGAGGGGTCTGGGGAGGTGGGGGGCAGGGGGGTGGGTGGGGAGGCTTGCAGACACTCTGCAGCCCTGCAGCAGCCACTCTCAGACCTGCCCCTCCCGTCCTAGCCGGCCCTCTCCGCAGAGAGGCCTAGCGCCTCGCCTGCGCGCCTCGCCTGTCGCGCGCCTTTCCAGAACATGCTCCCACGGGTCCGCCCTCCCAAGTGCTGACGCCTTAGAGCCAGCCTCCCAGCCCCGCCCAAGGCCCGCCTCCTCTGAGGTGGCCGCCCAGCCCCGCCCAAGGCCCGCCTCCAGCCCGCCCAAGGCCCGCCTCCTCTGAGGTAGCCTCCCAGCCCCGCCCAAGGCCCGCCTCCTCCACCTCCCAGCCCCGCCCAAGGCCTGCCTCCTCTGAGGTGGCCTGCCCAGGCCCCGCCTCTCTCAATGTTCAGCTCCCCCCAGGGCTCCTCCACTGAGGAGGCCCAGAGCCCCGCCTTCCCCTCAGCCTGCCCGCGCCTGCGCAGTGTGGGCCCCAGCCCCTCCCTTCATCCCCGCCTGCTTTGCACAAGTGCGCCAACACTGTCTGAGCCTGGCTGTACAGCCCCGCCTCCCTGCGGTTTCTCTGTTGCGCGGTTTTGCTTTTTTGTCCACAGGTGTCTAGTAAATATATAAGTATAATAAGAATAATTAACAACAATAAGAAGTATACCTGGCATGCATAAGCACTTTTAATAAGTGCCTTGCATTATTAAATAAAATGATCCCACAATTAAAACTGATAGTGGGATATGGGAACTTCTAAGAAGACCTGACTGGTGCCTTGAAGCACTTAAGCCAATTATTTATTTTAAATTAAAAATTAAATTTAAAATAATTTCATATTTAATTATTTGCCTAAGACACCATTGGACTTACTGGATTGAAAGCTTTGGTGAAGCACCTTGGACTATGTTTCTTAAGAGTTTGAAGTGGCATTGGTATTATTATGGCTTGGCCTCTGAGGAAGGAGACATTTGTGAGCATTTTGTTTTTTGGCTTTCTGTTTTTCCTTAAGAATTCTAGGTGATTAGCTCTGGCTGACCTGCCTACGTATAATAAATAGTGCTTGGCACATAGTAGGCGGTCATTAGATGTTGGTTAAATGGCCAAAGGAAATTACTCATTGTCCTGCTGCTGGCGTTCAGGCTCTTTTGAGGTTTTGGTACTTTTTCCTATGATGCTTTGCTGTCCTGAGTTGAGCTGCTGCCCCCCTCTCTCACTTTTAAAACTTTCTTTTTCAAAAAAGTGTGTTTTTGAATTCCAGTAAAGTAAGCTGTAATTATAATGTGACACAGAATTATATTCCAAATAATTAGCTTTTTTCATAAAAAGCTAATTATTTGTTATTCCAAGTAATTAGCTTTTTTCATAAAAAGCTAATTATTTGTTATTCCAAGTAATTAGCTTTTTTCATAAAAAGCTAATTATTTGCTGTCCCAAGTAATTAGCTTTTTTCATAAAAAGCTAATTTAAATTTGGGGCAAGGGGGTTATTAATGTTACATATTGACATTTAAAATTTGAGTGATGTAACAGAGTGGTTACATCGCAAGACATAGATTGTTTCAATTGGCTTAATTAAACATCTGTAATTCACAGAGAAGCCAAATAGAAATTTCTCTTAATTAATGAAGAAATTAAAAGAAAACTGGCTCTATATATTACAGACCATGAGCCAGGATTTTGTTAAGGGGAGAAGTGGGGGCTATGGCTCCCCCAAACTCTCACCTTCCTACTGCCCCTCCCCTGAAGTCTAACTATGGGAAATACGTGCTTATAATTACAGCTTGAAGTTTGTTTTGGGAATTTTATCTGCATACTAAAGAGGTTCAAAACATTGTAAATCAATATATGCAAATTTGAATTGCATTTCACAGATAAGCCACATAATACTAAGAGAAGGACATTTAAAAATTTCAAGCAACTAAGAGTTGCTTAATGTTTCATTTCCTAATGAGACATTTATATATTATTTTATTTACTATTATCGTCCTTTGATGTGTTTGGGGGAATTTAAAGAAAGTTTGAAGAAGTCATTGTAAAGAGTTAATAATTAATCAGATGTACATATTCCTACATAGGCTAAAACTAAATGATCACATATGAAGATGGCACCTATTTATCTCAGGTAGCTTGGCTTGCTTCTGCAGTGTGACCTTTCAGTTTTCAGGAATGGGAGCTCTCAGCAACCCCCACTCAGTAGCCTCTTCAAAGGGAAATGGAGGAGTCACAGTTCTGAAGTCAAATTAAAATGAAGTCACCGTGCTCCTTGCATCCCTTCAGTTTGTGCTACCCCAGTTGCTCTTCAAACATTTCCATTATTTGTTTATAGTTACTGTTAACCTGTCTGCACAGAGCCCTAATGCTTTTTACAGGTTAAACTTCTCTGCCTTGCAGTAGAGTGCCACTCCCCAAATTGCAAAGCCCCCAAGGGTGACCCTGAGGTCTAGGAGTGATGAAGGTCCCAAGTGTTAACGTGGTGGTGACCTCACAGGCCAAATAAAGCCTTTAATTTGTTTAGCAAGTACTGTATTATTACAATAGCAATAACCCCCTGAATATCCTGGTGGGAGGGGCACACCTCTCCAAGTTACATGGGCACAGCCCCTCCCACATTTTCTTACCTCTAGTCTCTCTTTAAATTATCTTACTGACATCAGCAAACCATGTATTGATTGCTGATTTCCTAATGCAATTTCTGCCCCCTAATTGTCTTTTATAGGTGTCAATGCCCACCAGACCCGGCTTTAGTGAAGCCCAGTCCAGTAAGTTGTGTACCTTCCTGACCTGGGTCAAGCTGCACCAAGCCATGCTGAGGCCATCTTAAGGAAATTTTTAATTTCTATTTTGAAATTGTTGTTTTCTAGATAACAAAAATTACACTTTAGTCATCTGACCAGTGCTTGTTAATTGATTTTTAAGGAGAGATTAAAACAACTTAATTTTAAGAATATTGCAATGTTTTGAACATGGTCTTTGTTACCAAAACACTTGTTTTTAATGAATTGGAAGTAAGATTGAATGTCACAGGTCAAGGCGTCTTCTGCCTTTAAAGACTCGATTATCAGTTATGTTAGCTTTGGTAGCCTGTTATTAAAGTGATCAAGTAGAAGTGTTAAAATGGCACACGGATTCCTGTCATTTAAGGACCCTGTGCACTCTGCTCATTGGAGAGGCCACGGGAACTGCTTGGGACAAATGGGAAATGGCTGCAGGTGGCTGTGGAGGGGAGGGGCCTAGATGTTGGGGTGGGGTGGAGGGAGGGGGGTTTGGACAAGGGTAATGAACAGGTGTCATGTGGGATGACAGTTTTCCTCTATTTTTAAAAAGTACTCTATTGGATGAAATAGTAGCTGCTTTTCCATCTAACTTTTCTAATTAACATTTTTATCTTTCTTTTGTCCTATGGGATATAATTAGTGCCCATTTTGACCTTGATTGGTCAGAGAAAAACAACTTATTTTTAAACTTTTATTTGTTCAAAAGTTTTATAAACTTTATGTCCTTAAACTTTTATTGAACTTTTTAAATTAAAAGTTTCTAGCTACTAAAAAGTATAAACTTTCAAAAACAGGAATTTCAAACTTCCTAAAGTTTGAAACTTTAAACTTAAAAGTTGTAAGTTCAAACTTTTAAAAAGTTTTTTTTAACTTCAGGAAACTTAGCTAAACTTTTTAAAAAGTTTGCTACTGTCCAACTTCAAAGTTTTTAAAACTTTCTAAAGATTTAACTTTAAACTTAAAGATTGGTTTTATTTCAAACTTTTAAAAAGTTTTTTAAACTTCCATAAACTTAGCTAAACTTTTTAAAAAGTTTGCTACTGTCCAATTTCAAAGTTTTTAAACTTTCTAAAGATTTAACTTTAAACTTAAAGATTAGTTTTATTTCAAACTTTTAAAAAGTTTTTAAAAACTTCAGTAAACTTAGTCAAACTCTTAAAAAAAAACTTTACTAGGCTGTCCAATTACAAAGTTTAAAAAACTTTCTGAAGTTTTAGATTTTAGACTTAAAAGTTGTTTGTAAGTTCAAACATCTTTTTTAACTTTAAGTTTAATAAACTTAGTTAAACTTTTTTTAAAAGTTTACTAGACTGTCCAGTTACAAAGTTTGTAAAACATTAATATCTTATTCTTTACTATAATTATTTTAATTTGAGATTTTGAGATTACAAATACATAAGTTATTAATCATTCTAATTGCATTTAACCCTTTTTAGGAAGTGCCCAGACGGCCACTCTGTTATGGTTACCACTCCACTCATAATGAAGACATTTAAACTCCCCCTCTTCACACATACACGCATCCACTTGCCTTGGACTTCAGGCCTATCCCACCTTAATTTTACAAGCCTTTGGGTGGGACCCTACTGAAAAATCTCAATTAAAAACTAAAGGCTACACAATGGTGACCTGTAGTACAAATAAACTTCTGTTTTCTTTGACTAATAATGTATATTTTTAAGTATCTTTAGATTCAGGCTGCCCAAGCTGCTTCCTTCCCATTTATATAGAAAGTCAGTTACCTTTGTGTTTTTTTAATTAATAACCTTACTAAGAATCAGTTAACAGTTATATTTAAGGGATTTATACTTATCATTTAATTAAGGCACAATAAATTTGACTTATACTATTATCAGACATGATTTTAAAAAAAAGATGTCCTATTGCTCATTTCTTCCTAGGAGGCATCAATTAATATTTGTTTAATGATTGCCAAATAAGGTAAACTGACATCCCCTTGTGCTGTTCAGTGCCATTTTTCTCCCATAGAGAATTCTGAGGAGGTTAACTTGTGGTCACAGAAGCAATTAGACAATCTTGTTTTTGTGATAGTGCTTGGTTGTTGGACTTAATAATTAGATCTTTATTATTAAGGGGTGCACCTCTGTTGTGACTTTTGGCCAAGTGTACTTTATTTCTTTCAGAGCTGATGAGGACAGGCATTGTGGTTCTAACACCCCACCTCTTTTGTGTGTGTGGTTTCTGAGTGATTAGAGTTTAGTTATATTTTCCTAGCACCCTTATTAGTAAAAGGCATGGTGTTGGGATTATTTTGCATAATTTAGAAGTTATTTTGCATAATTAATTTCCTGTTTATCTTTGCCTTGGAAGTTTCTTGCTGTGTGACCTCCATACAAATGACTTGTCACCTTTCCTTTATAGTTTGTAAGGGTGAGTGTGATACTGCTGAAGGTCGTGGATTAATTATAAGGAGCAGGTGACTTTTTAGAAAAGTCATTTGGATGTCTGGACATCAAGAAGTAGTATGCTTTTTACTATTTCGTGAATGATTACTTCATCCTCTTTTGAAGATGTGTTGTCTACTGATAATTAAGTGTCAAGGGATATTTGAAAAACCTAAATCCTTGTTTATAGAGTCTGCATTGAATGTGTATGTTGAATGTGTGCTTTTGTTGACATTTACAGGAACCGACGGGTTTTGAGAACCAAGAAGCGGAGACCCCGAGTGCCCCAGAATACTGGGCACTCTTCCACCATGGCCGAGGCGGCGGCAGGTGGTTCCTGCCCGCCCCCCTCCTCCTCCTCCTCCCCCCCAACAACAACAACAACAACAACAAGCCCCCAGGCAGGCAGTCCAGGCAGGCCCGCAGGAGCAACCGTCGTCTCCGCTACCGGCCCGACGTGGGAATTGACTCCGAACCCGAAGAGCCTCAGACCCAGGCCTCTGGAAGCAGTGAATCTGAATCCGAGCTGCAAGGCGCTGCAGCAGCCGCTGATCCACTCTTTTACGTCGATGAAGAATCCCTGCAATACCTTCCTGAGAAGTTTGACGGCAACCCCGACGCGGTGACCCCGTTCATCGCCCAGTGCCAGATCTTCATGGAGAAGAGCACCCGAGATTTCTCAGTTGATCGCAACCGTGTGTGCTTCGTGACAAGCATGCTGCTCGGCCGAGCTGCCCGCTGGGCTACTGCCAAGCTGGAACGATGCGGCTACCTGATGAACAACTACCGTGCCTTTATGATGGAGCTGAAGCACGTCTTTGAAGACCCTCAGAGGCGTGAAGCTGCCAAACGCAAGATCAGACGTCTGCGCCAGGGCATGGGCACTGTTGGAGAATACGCCGGTGCATTCGAGTCGATTGCCCAGGACCTGGATTGGAACGAGAGCTCCCTGGTTGACCAGTTCCTCGAGGGCCTCAACACAGACATCCATTCCGAGCTGACCCGCCGCACCGAGGTTCCCACCAACCTCAATGATCTCATCCGACTCTGCCTCCACATCGAGAGGAGGCTGGCCCGTGCTGCTGCCGAGGCTGCTAACAAGCCCCGCGCCGACCCACCCCGCGCCCTGGTGGCGCCCCAGAGCCACCAGGCTGATCCCACCGAGCCCGTCGGAGGTGCCCGCATGCGCCTCACCCAGGAAGAGAAGGAGCGCCGCCGCAAGCTCAACCTGTGCCTGTACTGCGGCAGCGGAGGCCACTACGCCGACAACTGCCCCGCCAAGGGCTCCAAGAATTCACCGTCGGGAAACTCCCCGGCCCCGCTGTAGAGGGACCTTCAGCGACTGGGCCGGAAAGAACAAGGTCCCCACCCCCCGAGGCTCCGACCGCGCACCTGCAGGTGATGCTCCAGGTCCATATCCCGGGCAGACACACCCTGTTCGTCCGAGCTATGATCGACTCTGGCGCCTCCGGCAACTTCATCGATCAGGACTACGTCATCCAAAACGGGATTCCTCTAAGAATCAAAGAGTGGCCAATCATGGTGGAAGCAATCGATGGGCATCCCATAGCCTCGGGCCCAATCGTTCTGGAAACACACCACCTGATTGTTGACCTGGGTGACCACCGCGAAGTACTGTCTTTTGACGTGACGCAGTCTCCGTTCTTTCCCATCGTCCTGGGAGTTCGTTGGCTGAGCACGCACGACCCGCACATCACCTGGAGCACCCGCTCCATCGTCTTCAACTCCGATTACTGCCGATTCCGCTGCCGGATGTACTCCCAGGTACCTCCCGCGCTGCTGTTCCCGGTGCCCCACCCACCGCACCCTCCGTTCTTCTACCACACGGATGGATACCGAGTTTACCACCCCGTGAGGTACTACTACGTTCAGAATGTATACACGCCAGTGGATGAGCACGCCTACCCGGGTCAGCGGCTGGTTGACCCTCACATCGAAATGGACCCCGGAGCACACAGCGTTCCCGGCGGACACGTGTACTCCTTGTCTGAAACCGAGATGGCTGCCCTGCGAGAGTTCGTGGACAGGAACGTGAAGAATGGACTCATGACCCCCACCGTCGCTCCCAACGGAGCCCAGGTCCTGCAAGTGAAGCGAGGATGGAAACTCCAGGTCACTTACAACTGCCGAGCTCCACACAACTGCACAGTCCAAAATCAGTACCTTCGGATGTCTCTTCCCAACGCGGGAGACCAGGCGCACCTGGCAAACTACAGTGAATTTGCCCCTCACGTTCACGGGTACCACCACCACCACCACCACTACCACCACCACCACCACCTCCCCGCCTATGCGACCTACGCAGGCCACCACATGATGTTTGCGTGGTACCCAGTGGGGCGAGATATACACGGAAGAATGATCCTCACGCCTGTTGTGATCACCTGGTGCCCACATGGGTACCACCATCATCCTCACCCAGTACCCCAGTATCCTCCTCCGCAGCCACCACCCCCGCCTCCGCCCCCGCCGCCCCCGCCGCCCCCGCCGCCTCCATCCTACAGTACCTTGTAAATACCTACAGTGTCCTTCGGAGAGACTCTGCCCTCTGCTTTCTCCTGTGTAGCTTCTCAATCAGTGACTGTGTGCTACCGGATCTTCAGGCCACTTCAGGCACAAAGGCACACGGGGCTAAAGTCAGTTTTCCACCTTGACTGCCAATGGACTCTAAGTTGACAAGGCCTGGCCTGGGTTTTACGTCTCAATCGCCGGCTGCCAAACTTCTTTACAGAGAAGCTGATGCAAACACAGGACATGCTGATTTCTTACAGAGGGGGAAAAGAGGAGGAGGAGGACACGACCCGCCCCTACGGGCGCCTTACTGAAGGAAGCCACACTTGCTGGTGCAGCATGGAAAGGCTTCCGTGATTCTCTTGCTGCACCCTCTGGAACTTCACCATCTTCAGACTCCATCTTCATGGTTCCGTTAATTTTCAAGGAGCAGCAACTTGACTGGTTCTTTGCAACACGAAACACCTCAGCTTGAAAAGGAAGTGCTTTCTTAGATAGACTTGTGAGTGTGCCTTCGCATTCTGGTGCAGATCACATGTACCCAAGAACTCTGGTGTTGACACAACATCTTACCATCATCATACCAGCAGTGTCTGCCTCCACATGCATGGGGCATCCCATCAGCCTGTATCGTGAGGATGTTTAGAGAGGGGAAATGATTTTGCACCCAGATCCACACTCCCATCGTACAAGATGTATTTGAAGAAGAATTAGAGCACTGGACATCAACTTGAAGATACTGGCTTTTTAAGAATGAGGTCTTTTGCTACTACCTTGAAACATTTGTCTAACCTCTTTCTGTTTGATTCTCCACTACTGCCATTAAGCCTGCTGCAGGATTTGTCACCTTCCTGCCTGACTGCTGACTCCATTTTGCTGCCAAGCACGGAGATGAAAGAGGCAGGCCTGACGGAGCATGTGTTTCAGCACAGTCTCCAGTTGCCAAACAGTTTGAGCAGTAGTGGTTATTGTTTTGTCTTAATGGTGAAGTTTCCTTTTCCTTGCATGTTTAAGTAGTTCAGTAGTTTTTTTTTCTTTTAAGTATGTTATTTTCAAGTGTTGGCTATGCTTTCAGAATTTCCATTGAATTACAAAGTACTATCCGTACAATACAATCTCAGTTCTATCAGTTCGGCCTTTAAAATTCACACACACACACACACACACACACACACACACACACACACACACACAAGGATATAAAAATCCAAAAAAGAAACCTAATTGACTATTGTTTTTTTGTTCAATGGGATCAGAAAGCTGGTCAGTTGTCATGTGTTTTACATTAATTACTTTTAAATGGTGCATTTGTGCTTCTGATTTTTTGTGAAGCATCACTTCAGTTTACCTCAGAACTCAATTCCATCCTTCATTCATTTTAATTGATTTGACTTCAAGCTGCAGAGTACCTAGAAGTGGGTCATCATCTGCAGCCCTGGCATGGACACACGGACATTTGCCACAACTGCAAGCAAGTATTTGGAGAAGCAGTCAGGGAGGACATGCTGGTGTGACTTCACACCTCACAGACAATATCCCTGACACACATTGGATTGTTTTGTGAAGCTTGCCAATGACTTTCGGCAGTGTGTCCTATGCTCTGTTCCTATATATACTAGCTATAAATGTTAGGTGTTAAGGATAAGTAATCTTCAATTTGCTCTATAATGCTGAAATTTTGTTAAGTTTCCTTTTAGTTTTTTAGGTTTGTTAAGTTTCCTTTTATTTTGCTTCTGTTGATCAAATTTATATTAATCGTTCTTTTTATTTTTTCTTTTATTTGGCATTTCCAACAAAAATGCCTTTATTCATTTATTAGGAAAGAAAGATAAGTTGGAAAAGGAGGAAAATACAAATTGACAAAATTAACTAATTGACTGTAGGCCCAAATTTTTATTTTTCATTAATTAATGATGAAGGGGATGTGAGAGTTCCTATTGCTCATCATGAAGGTCATCATGAAGAGTCAGTTTAGTTTGAACCTGGAGGCATTTGACTGAGATACTAATTTGAAATGGGCATCTGTATGGTGCAGTCTAGACTTGTGTTTAAGTTTGCAGGTACTTCCTGGACTCCTGAACTGATCTGGCTGTCGCACATCATCAGCATCCCGCATCCCGCACAGTTACGAGATTGGCACCAGAGAGCACCCTGTTGGAGAGGCCTGAGCCGTCATGAAGGACCACCTGCAGAAGAGAAGTGTCTGCAGGAACCGTGCTACATATTCAGCTGGAGAGGGAACACGCATCTGATGGGAATGGAAGCTTTTGCTTGTCTCAGATTGTAGAATGTTTTTGAGTTGATTTTGAATGTTGCATTGTTTTTCTTTTTTTCTATAGTCAATTAAGTAATAGGGGCTACATAATCATTAAGAATTTTAGGCTGGGAGGGACTATTAAGTAATTTAGGTGGGTGGGTAAGTTAGGGGATAAGTTAGGATAAGATAGGATAAGTTAGGATAAGATAGGATAAGTTAGGATAAGATAGGATAAGATAAGATACAACAAGAAGTGGACACGTGTACTTATTTGTCACTCTTACCCCTCCCTACAACCTTACCTTTAAGATTCTACTCAGAGGGAACTGCAGGGAAATTAACATTTTATAAGTGAATTGGACATAGATAAAATTCTAGTGAAACTTCAAAGATGATTAGATTAATCTAATAAAGGCCCTAGGAATTAACTCCAGGGATAGATTGTGAGTAAACCCTGAGAGAGCTACCAAATGATAGGCATCATTGAGAAACTGTTACTGGAATAAAGTTTGCAATGTAATGTTTGTAATATGTCAAATGATAAATATGCATGGAAATTGGAAGAAAGTGATGAATAAAAGCCATCGTTAATTCCTTGTCAGTAACCCTCTTTCTCTCCTCTCCCCTCCCCTCCCTTCCCCTCCCTAACCCATCCCTTCTTCCCTTCCCCCTCCCAACCCCACCCTTCAAACAATATTACTGTATACTTTTTACTATATTACTCATACTGTATTAATGTTACAATAAATTTGAATAAATAAAGACTTAGTGGTTAAGGCAAATTGTGTCCTGATCATTTTCACGCCCACCACCATCAAGAATGGAGGGAGGAGCGGCGGAGGGGTCTGGAATGAGAAAGGGTGGGAGCTAGGAAGTAAAGGGGTTGGGGGGGACCAACTGGGAAGAGAGAGGGTGGGGGAAGGGTGGGTGTGGGGAAAAGTTTGGAATGGAGGTAGCATATAAACAACACACCAGCCACACAGTTCACCATCAATGAAAGGGGTTGGGGGGGACCAACTGGGAAGAGAGAGGGTGGGGGAAGGATGGGTTTGGGGAAAAGTTTGGAATGGAGGTAGCATATAAACAAGACATCAGCCACACAGTTCACCATCAATGAAAGGGGTTGGGAGGGACCAAATGGGAAAAGAGAGGGTGGGGGAAGGGTGGGTTTGGGGAAAAGTTTGGAATGGAGGTAGCATATAAACAAGACATCAGCCACACAGTTCACCATCAATGAAAGGGGTTGGGAGGGACCAAATGGGAAAAGAGAGGGTGGGGGAAGGGTGGGTTTGGGGAAAAGTTTGGAATGGGGAATAGCATATAAACAACACACCAGCCACACAATTCACCATCAATCATATGCCCAGAATACCCCAGAATATTGGCTAATTTGTTCCAGCTGTGACATTAACAAAATAAAGCCATCACCTCAGAGAAACCCCAGTGACTTAACTATTAATCTCAGTATGACTTGGAATACTTGAGATTTATTAATATATTAGAGAGGGAGGGACCTGGGAAAATGAAAGAGAAGAACAACCAGGTTAACAGAATGGGAAGTTGGGCAGGAGGGTGGAGATTGACATGGTGGTATGCAACATACTAATCACATAGATTTATCAATGATATGCCCAAACTACCCCAGGAAATTACATTGACAAAATAACCTCGGTATAGTGTTGCTTCCAACAGCTGAGATAAGAACAGAGGATGGGCAAATAGGATCACAAGGCAGAGTGGGGGATGGGAAGTGGTGGCAAGAGGGGTACAAGTTGAGTAAATTTGGAATGGAGTTTTATATGAAGAATACATTAATCACAGAACCTAATCATCATAATACACCAAGAAGACCCCAGGAAATAAATGTATTCTAGCTACAAAAGGCTAACATATAAGCCCACCAATTAATGATAACACCAGTGAGATAACAGTGGTATATTTCAATATGAGTGGAATTGTTGAGATGGGGGAGGGAGTAAAGGTGTGGGGTTAGTAATCCAGTAGGGAGGGGTGGGTGGTGTGTAAAGGGAGGGGTGGTGTATATGGAACACATCAGTCATACTCACGATCCTGTGACAATAATATACCCAGAATATTCCAAGAAGTCAACTAATGTGGTCCAGATGCAAAACATTAGTATCTATGGTAATAAAGTCACCAAATAACATCAAGTCCATAGACATAATAAACCTCAATACTAATAGTACCCAAAATAATTAGAATTTACATATTTAAGTGGAATTGGGGGCCAGCAAGATGCCTCAACAGTTAAGGGTGCTTGCTGCCAAGCTGGACAACCTGAATTGGATATTTGGAACCCACCTGGTGGAAGGAGAAGACCAGCACCTACAAGTTGACCTTTGACCTCCATAAACTCATGGCGGGACAGTGTTCATTCCTCCCCATACAAAATAAATGGGGAGAGAGGGAGACCAGGGGAACATCTGGGGGTAGGAAACAGTGTTAAGAGGGAGATTGAAGGGCAAGAAGAGAGGTTGGGGTTGAGTGTGGCTTTGGAATAGGGTGGTGCATAAGGAATGTCAATCATATAACTCACGATTGGTTACATGCCAAGAACAACCAAGGGACCAACTGTATAGCAGACAAAATAAAGCCAACAATTAATAGTGACTTTAGTAATCATAAAACACTATTAAATGGAATACTTGAGATTAATTAGAGTGGAGGTGGGGGGACACTGAGGAGAGTGGGGGAGAATAGTGAAGAAAAGAAAGAGAAGATTAAGAATGGGGTGAGTTTAGGAGAGAGTTTTTATATTTTAGAAAATGTCAATTACACAACTCAGGGTCAAGACATACACAGAATACTCCAGGATATCAACTGACGGGAATTATACACTATCATGCATGAAACAATACCATGAATAGCGAAGAAATCATTGGTTCTCCTGTGGCATAATAAATTTTTACCTTTAGCATCAATATTGGAATAGTTGAGGCGTATTGATTAGAGTGAAGAGGATAGTATAATGGGGAGAAGGGGGGAGAGATAGGGGAGGGGGAGAAAGTGAAAGATGGAATTGGATGGGAAAGGTGGGACATTGAGATGTGAGGGTATATAAGAAACACATCAATCACAGTCCAGATCAAGTATGCATTCACAAACTCCAAGGAAATAAATATATTTCAGTTGTAAACTATTAACATGTTAACAATAAAGTCATCAATGATGGCTTCATTGACATACCTACTACATATTTAATATTAATATTACTTGATATTTTTAAGTTACTAGTAAGTGGAAGAGCAAAAGAGTGAAGGAAATAAGAGGAAGGGGTGTAGGCGCAGGAAAAAAAGAGAATTGGAAAGGTGGAAGGTGGGAAGAGAATGGGGATGCATAACAAAGATGCCAATCACACAACCAAGGACTAATGTCAATCAACTACATCTGAAAAGCAGCATACAATAATAAGTCTATCAACAACAGCAACAGTAATGAAACAGTTAAGTTCATTTTAATATCAATTTTCCTTGAATACTTCAGTTTTATCAACAGCAGTCAAGGAAACGAGGACAGTAGGGAATGTGATGTGGAGGGTAGAAAGACATTAAGAAGGGGGATGGGATATGTAGCAAGGGACAAGTCTGAAATGAGGGGTGGGATATAAAGAAGATATCAAACACACATAACACAGCATCAATCGTGTACCCAGAATGCCCCAGGAAATCAATTAGAATATTACAGGTGCAAAATATTAAAATATTATTATTTTATAATAATAACAGCTTCTATATAAGTATTACATACAATTGTTGGTCTTCTTTTCATTGGAGAGACAAGAAGTGGGAGGATCAAAAGAAGATGTTGGGGAGGTGAGAAAAAAGTGAATTTGGGATAGGGTAATGTAGAAGGCTGTATCAGTCATGCACAGTCAAACACTCAGGGTACTCCAGGATGGCTAATACATCCCGGTGGCAAAAAGTAAACACAGGGCCTGGAGAGAGGGTAAAGGTCTTACTCTGCAAGCATGAAGACATAAGTCCAGATCCCAAGAATGTATGTGCCCAAACTCACACACAAACACATCTCACACATGCACACCCTAATTTTTTTTAAATTAAAATAAAATCAACACTGACTCCAATAAGTGACGTAAGAGCTTCATATTTAATGTAAGTATTTCTTGGAGGTTCAGCAGCAGGTTGAGAAGGGAGGATAATAGGGAGTGTGGGCAGTGAGGGGTAAAACTTAGGGGGTGGACAATGGAACAAGAGAGTGAGTGAGTGGGAAGAGAGGATTTATAAACCCACAAATCACACAGCTTATATATTGTAGCTGCCAAAACTTTAACATAAAAGTTAAAGCCACATGTGACTCTAGTGACATAATTAGACAAAAATGGACTTAGCAATGTCAATTTTGATTAAAAATTTTAATATTTACTAATAAAATTTAAGAAGATGAGCTAGTCAGTGCATGGATCATGAAGGGAGGAAGCACAGGTATTATGTGTATACTTCCCGCCAGCCGCCTGGGTCCTGTCGCCGCTTTAGCCCTCAAATAACACACGATACATTATATTAATTATGCCGCTGTTGGCAATTTGCTGTTGTTTCTAATTGGCTAGCTCTGATTTAATTATTAACCCATAATTACTAATATATGTTTTTATAAGGACTTATCTTTCCCAGAATGCCAGACTTGCATTCTCTCCTCCAGGGGTCACATCCCTATGACTCTCTTCACTACAATTATCAGAGTCCTCCTCGACTCCTAGTCCCACCTATCTTGCTTCCCTGTTGGCCAACAGTGCTTTATTTACATATACACAATAGGACTTGCCCCATCATACAGGAGAAATGGGCAGAGCAAGAAGGGTCAGGAATTGAGGTGAGCTGAATTGTGATGATGTGATTAGGTCAATTACAACCTAGCATAAATCCCATCACCAGACTACCCCCAAGGAATTGACTGATTTATCCCAGTTTCAAAACTTTAACACACAAAGTAAGTTATCAACTAATAGTAACTCCGGCCATATAACAAGCTTTATTTTAAATACAAATTTTGCTTAGGATACTTCAGATTTGAGAACAATTAAGAGAGTGAGGTAACTAAGAGAAAGTGGGAGGTGAAGAGGCAGGAGGAGCCCCAGCGTAGGAAGAGTCCGTGGGTCAGATGGGGAAGATGAGGTAATATAAAGAAGACACCTATCTTAGTTAGGGTTTCTACTGCTGTGAAGAGACACTATGACCATAGCAGCTCTTTTTTTTTCCATATTTTTATTTAACTTTTTACACATGCCACTTTCAGTTCCCTCTCCCTCCCCTTCTCTCACAACTCCAATCCTCCCAACCCCTCACCCCCACTCCATCCTCCCAGGGAGGGCAAGGGCCTCCATGAGGAATTTCCAGAGTCCATCACATCATCTTGGGAATGGCCCAGATTCTTCCAAAGGAGCCTCTTATATATTTATTTTTTTCATGACTGTCTGAACTGCCTACATATCTCCAATTTGATCTTTATTTCCAGGTAACTTGAGGTTGCTTCAGGCAAACTAGTACAGATGTCTATGTGTATAGTTCACCTGAAGTAGGACTTATTGTAAAAGCATGTGGTCCTCCAGGTAGTCATTACTTGGATCTCCAGACTGGAGAAAATTCTGCATACCTTATAGTCTTGGCCAGCAAGAACAAATGCATCTGTTGTACACATTCAGAGGAATTGTTCACTCTGAGGCAATACTAGTGTCATTAGGTGAGTTTTCAGAAGGGGAAAGAGCCACAAACCAAGAATAAATTCTGAAGATCTGGGTTGGAGT